AAAAAAAAAAAAAGATAATGGACTATATTTACTTTTATTATGAAAATTAATTGACAGGAAAATAGAAAGCAAGGCTTGGACCCTTCTGCATCTCAGCTGCTGGTGAAGGGTGAGGCAGAGGCCAATGTAAAGTGGGGTGGGTGATGTGTGAGGCAATTTCTTCACACATTAATTAAGTCCCTTAATAAGAATGCTCATCTGACTGCTAAACAACGTTAATCCCCTGACATTGATAATCTCTGCCTTGCTAAGTCACCACGAGCACACGTAACATCTGATGGTGTCAATTTGACTGTACTTGGAATATAACACAGTGGAAGCCGCACATGCTGTAAAACGGGCCTGCATACGTACAAATAGTGAGAGCATCCCACGTGTTTATTTCACATGACATTGATACACAATGTTGTCATCTACAAAGTTCATGCTCAAGAACTGTGCAATCAAGTTCCACAAAAAAAAAAAATCACAAAGAAAATCTCATAATGTTTTAACTAAGTTTATGATTTTATATTGGGTCATATTCATAGCTATTCTGGGCTACATATGGCCCTCCAGCTGTGGGTTGGACACTTCTGCTTTATACTGTTTAAGAGTGTGTGATACTGTCATAAGGACAGACAAATCCATGGAATAGAACTGAGAGTCCAGGAACAAACCCGCATATTCGTGGGTTTTGAGGAGAACATCAAGACAGAACAGTCTTTAGCAAATGGTGCTGGGACAGATGGCCAGACACAAGCAGAAGAAGGAAGTGGGATCCTTACTTCATAGTACACATAACAGTTAACTCAAAACATGTTAAAGCTCTACAGTGTAACAGAATTGAGACCATAAAACTCTAAGAAGAAAACATAGAATTAAATCTTCTCAACTCTGGCTTAATGAATGGATTCTTAGATATGTACCAAAAGCCCAACCAACAAAGGAAAACTAGATAAATTGGACTTTATCAGAAGCAAAAACTTTTTGCTTTGACAGACAATATCAAGAGAGTAAAAAGTTAGCCTAGAGACAGGAGAAAATATTTGTGAATCATGTATTTGGTATGGGCCTGATATCCAGAATAGGAACTCACACAACTCAACAGTGAAAGGACAAACAATCCAATTAAAAATGGGTAAAGGATTTGGATTTATCTTTCTTTCTTTCTTTTCTTTCTTAATCCATCTGGCTCTGGAGACAAATGTGAGGGCTTTCTGAAAAGTATCCAGCCCTGCAATATGAAAGATAGAAACATACATGACTGGGTAATTTCTGGACAGGCCTTGTATATATTTATTTCTTTAAATATATTCCATATATTCATAGCTAATAAGCACATAAAAATACTCAACATCACTTGTCATCAGTGAAATGTAAGTGAGAGACCACTTCCTATTTAGTAGGATGATGGGACAAAAAGATGGACAGTAACAGGTGTGAGATGGAGGAACTGGAACTGCACACTGAACTGACAGGAACACACCATGGTGCAGGTGCTCTGGAAAATACTCTGGCAGCTTCTCAAAAAGTTACATGGTTACCAGGTGGCCCAGCAATTCCATTCCTAGCTACATGCCCAGAGAATTGAAAGCCCACATTTATAAACTGCTACATGGTTCACAGCACCAGGACTCATCAGCAGCCCACATGCCTACCAGCTGCCAAGTGGCACGTGTACAATAGACTGTTATCCCTCCACGACAGGCATGAGTGCTGACATGCTGCAACATGGATGGGCTTGAACACATCAAGCTGGATGAGGGAAGCCAGTCGCAAAAGGACACATATAATGTGACTTTATTTACATGGCATGTCCAGAACAGATAAACATGTACGGACAGAGATGGATTAGTGGTTGTTGGTCTGGGGAAGGGATAGGGGCATGACTCTTAGCAGGTACAGGCTGGTTTGTTTGTGAGGAGACTGTTCTGGGATTAGCGGTGACAGTTACACAGCTCGGCAAATAGAGTAAAAGCCTCTGAAATGTCTACTTTAAAAGGGTGAATTTTATAACATGAATTGTTCTAGTAAAAACATTTTTAAATGGCTGGGGAGGCAGTGTGGCCCCAGCCTCCATTGCTAATCTGTAGTGGGGTCTGAGTCTCCTCTCATGTAAGGACCAGAAATGCTCCAGCAGGAATAGATAAGCAGTCGGGATCCCAGAGACCTTGGGGCCTGGTAGCTTCCTTCTGAGAGGGCTCCAGGGGTCTCAGGCTCAGTGTGGGGCTGGCGGGGGGGAGTTGCCCAGAACTTGGTAGAACTTCACTCGGGGAACCTGCCTTCCTCCTGGCTAGAAGGAGCCAAGGTCATGAGCAGCTCTACAGTTCATCCTGGGATGAGGGAACCAGAGGAAAGCAGGGCCTGGACTGTCATCCTGACCCAGAAGGGTGCCCAGCTCTTCTGTCCTAGCCTGTCCAGGGCAGTGTCCAGAGCACTCTTTGGGAAATGCTGGTGTAGGCAGTCTCCTAGGGATGTACTTGCTGGCATTGATGGGCAGGGAGGTGGCCTGACCTCTGGTCTTCCCTGGCTCTCCTAGGTGGCCTCATTTGCCACCTTTGGAAGCAGCTGTGCTCACATGCATGGCTCTTCATACACACCTGCAGGACACGGCTATCCTGGTCTATGGGTACCCTGAGTGTCCTAAGCAATGTCATGGAGATAATTTAAAACAACATCTCCTACCACCCAGCCATCCTCTCCACATGCATAGGACAAAGAGAAACAGTTTTATCATTGGTTAAAATTAAACCAACTTTCAATGCCCAGAGGTCCCCAAGACAGAGAGACCCTCACCCAGTCTTTCTCCAGGCCAGGAGGTGCCTCTGTCATTAGCAGGGGTCATACACTGAGCCTGGAACAGGGGCAGACCCCTAGCAACAGAAGACAAGAAAATAAACTAGAAGCTCACCAAGCTTCAAAAAGGTCACTGACAGCCAAGGGGGCAAGTTTTCTAAGAAAACACTCAAAGAACAGGGAGTAGGAAAAGGTATTTTGCCCTTTGGCAAGAAAAAGTTTCTTTGAGGTTTGTACTGAACCCCAGAGTGGAGGCCAGGTCTTTCCATAAATCTGGTCCTGGAGTGTGTGTGGGGCAGCTGCCCTCACCGGCCACTCCCCAGCCTGCCTCACCCCTGTCTTGCAGAGATCCACAGCTTCGCAGGTGCCGAGAAAGATGGGCGCATTGTTGGGGAGATCGCCTTCCAGCTGGACCGCCGCATCCTGGCCTATGTCTTCCCGGGTGTGACACGGCTCTATGGCTTCACTGTGTCCAACATCCCTGAGAAGATCAAGCAGGTGGGCCCTTGCTGGCCTCTCTGCCACTCTACGAGGCCTTGCCCAGGCTTGCCCTCAGCCCTGCCTCTTCCCTTGCCCACAGGGGCCAGAAGCAAGGACAGCAAGCGGGGTCTGGCACTGCAGTGGGGTCTCCCTCTCAGATCACCTCCATGTGCTGTGACCCCATACATCCCTTCTCCAACCCTGTGCTTCTACCCTCCTTAATGTGCAGCATGTGACCTGATCTCCCAGTCCCATGCGCTGTGACCCCTGGACCTCTCCCCCTTTGCCCCCACCTATACCCCCTGCACCACCTTCCTTCACCTCTACCCTGCCCCATCTCCCTCCTTCCCAGTACCCTGCCCCCACCTCTCTCCACCTCCCTCCTGCCCTCATCTCCTTCCTGATCTGCCCCCACCTCCCCTGTGCTTTGCCCCCTCCATTGCCCTGCCCCCACCTCTCCCATCAGCACCTGCACTGGTGCTCTGACCCCACCTCCCCTCAACGCCCCTCCCACCATGCTCTGTCCTCAGACCTCCATCAAGTCCCTGGACGGCTCCGTGGACGAGAAGAAGCTGCGTGAACTGACCCAGCGCTACCTGACGCTGAGCGCGCGGCTAGAGAAGTTGGGGTACAGCCGTGATGTGCATCCGGTGTTCAGCGAGTTCCTCATCAACACCTATGGCATCCTGAAGCAGCGCCCCGATCTGCGCGCAAACCCGCTGCACAGCAGTCCGGCCGCGCTGCGCAAGCTGGTCATCGACATCGTGCCCCCCAAGTTCCTGGGCGACGCGCTGCTGCTGCTCAGCTGCCTGTGCGAGCTCTCCAAAGAGGACAGCAAGCCACTCTTCGCCTGGTGATGGCCTCCCGCAGTCCCCGTGCTTGTGCCAAACCTGGGGGCCGCGTGCCTCCTCGCGTACCTTTCCCCCCTGCGAGAAGGGCCACCCGCCCCGCCGACAGCGCCTGGGAGGGGCCCTGGGCGGACCTCACAGCTGCCAGGCCCGCAGCCCGCGCCGAACCTGGAGGACCTGTTCACTTTATTAAAGTCGTCTGTTTACCTGTCTGCCTTCACCTCTGGCTCTTTGAGGGCATGGCGGGTGCCTGCTAACTTCCATATGGAGGGAGGAGCTGGCTCAGGCGGTGGTTGTCTGGGAGACGACTAGGAAGCCACAGGGAAGCCTCAGTGTGCGCAGAGGGACCCTAAGGTCACCTCCTTGCAGGAACAGGCCCATGACCGGGGTGTTTCAGAGGTGGAGGCTTGTGTGTCTGGTGAGGGCAGTCTGAGCACCACAGAGTTGGCAACTCTTGTCAGGTAGGCTGGGTCTGGGCAGGGCAGAGCCCCCTTATGTGTAGAGGAGGGATGGGCTGGGCCCCTGGGGCTCTGGCGGATTGGTTTCACCATGGGGTAAGGTGACTGGATTTTAACATTGGTAAAGCGGGACACCATGGGTGGGGGGGGGCTGACAACAATGCAAACTTTGATAAGCAGTTCTCGATAATCAGTTCTCAACAATTATTTGTTATTATTAAAGTTTAACATTATAAAATTAACAAAAATAATATAAAACACATATCCTGGCAAAATAGCCACACGGCAGCCAAAAACCGTATATTCCCTTCCTGTTCTCCCCTGTTCCCTAGCTTGTCGTGCATTCTTTCCAAAAATTGGGGCTTTTTTAAAACGCCGCAGGACACAGGACAAATTGTTAAAAATTGGGACTGTCCCACCAAAAGCGGGATGTCTGGTCACCTTACTCTAGAAAGGGGGTCTACTTGTTTGTTCCAGACAGTTTGGCTCCTTCTGAGCTAATTGTCCTTGCCTAGAAGCAAGGGAGGGAGCCAGTCTCCTTCTGATACCTTGCCCAGGAGGGGAGTAAGGAGTTTACATTAGCCTTTTCATTTCCAAATGGAGTTACATTAACCTTTACAGCAGCTGTCTATTCCCTTCCCATTCTCCTGCTATTCCCTAGCTTGTCATGCATTCTTTCCAAAAATCGGGACTTTTAAAAAATGCTGCGGAATGCAGGACGCAGGACAAATTGTTAAAAATCGGGACTGTCCCTCCGAAAGCGGGATGTCTGGTCACCTTACCATGGGGTCACCCTGGGATGGTGAAGCTCACAGTAATAATGACCACATCCAAGCTTGGACCAGCACAGGGTGCTCAGGCCTTGGGCTGCAGCCATGGAATCTCAGCCAAGTCTACGGCCCCTGGGCCTGGGGCCAGCAGAGGTGCAATAAAGTGTATTAGCTTTATTTTCGTCAAGTGTGGTAGGATGACCCACGGGTGACAACTGCCTTAAAAGGGGAGTTTCTGGCTCATCAGGCCAGGCCAGGCCACCAAGGGACACCCTGGCCAGTGAGGAAGTGGAGGACAGAGAGCAAGGCAAGGCTTTGTCTCCAGACAGGTGGCAGGTCTGAGCAAGGACTTGGGTCACTTGTTCCTAAGGACCCTTGGCTATCATGGATCAAGCTGACCAGAGTACTTGGTGAGTGAGAGTCAGACAGTGGGTGGCTGGGAGGTGGGCTCAGCTATTTGCTGTCTCTAGGAATTAGCTGGGCAGGGGGCAGTCTCTCCCAGCCAGTAAGGCCCAAGATGTCACAGTGTCATAAAGTAGAAAATGGCAGGCAGAGCAGTCCCTGGGGCTCTGCCTGTGGGGGCCCACTGGCCCACCCTCATCTACATAGTGCTGGGCCCTGCCCTGGCAGCTGTGCTGGGGATGCAGGTGCTTAAGGAACTTGCTGGTGGGCTCCCCTGTAAGGAGGACAGAGCCCATACCTGCATTTTTCCTTATTATACCATATAAATGAGAGGAAATAGAAAAAGGGTTCCGAGGCCATGAGTGATTCAAGCAGGCCCCAAAGTTGGTGGTGGTGGCCGTGTCCCCATGTAGACGGGAGAAGGGGGTGTGCTTACAGAGTTGGCACAGGCTGGGCTTGCTTCCCACGGCCACAGCCCACATTGAAAGAGGGGCCATGCTCCACCTGCCTGAGGGCCATGTAGCCACACGAGCTATTTGGGATTCTTATGTGTAGGAGATTTGTCTTGGCTGTATGTATTTATCTATTCAATCATTTATTTATGGCCTGGGGGATGCTTACTTTGCACTTTGGGCTGGGAAAATGCTCTGGCTCACCCTGTATTTTCTTCCCAGGCCCTGCTGTCAAGAACGGTATTGGGAACCTGGATGTGGGTACCTCTGACACCCTTTTTCCTGTAAATGGGGTGCCGCAGAGGCCCCTTTCTGGGAGTTATTTATAGCACCTGCTTCTGACCCATCTTACTCACCTGACAGGTGACTTTGCTGGGCCCTGACTCCAGGAATAGAGGCTGGCATTGGCACTGTCCTGGAGTTTGGCTGTGAGTTCGCAGCTGTGGTCACTCCACTGTGGGGGAGGGAGGTGATGGAGGGGATCCTATGTGGGGCAGCATGGCCTCACAGCTAGTGTGTTCCTGGTGACCCTGGACTAGTCCACACAGGTGGCTGTCACCAAGTCCTACAAACAAAGCAGCCCAGACCACAAATAATCATTCTCTCAGTCCTGGAGATGGGAAGCTCGAGGTCAGGTACAGCAGGGCTGGATCCTCCGAGGCCTCCACCCTGTGTCCTCACAGGTCATCCCTCTACAAATCTGTGCCTTGTCTCTTCTTATGGGACACCAATTTGATTGGATCAGTGCAGCCTGATGACTTCATGTTATCTTAATCTCTTTAAAGACCTATTTCCAAATCCAGTCACATTCTGAAGAGCTGGAGGTTGAGGCTTCAACAAAGCACTTTTGAGGAACATAGTCTGGCCCACACAGACCCATCCACCCTTCCTGTCTCCAGATTTGGGCCTGGCTGAGGGACTCTCTGTGCTCCCACCCCTGAGGTTCTCTGGGCCCCTCCTTGTCCTAGGCCAGCTGAGTGGCCACAAAAGGTTCGGGTCCCCATAGCCCCCATAGCTGGGTGGTCCTTGCCCAGGCCCCATGGTTACCCCCATCACTGCTGGAGGACAAAGTACCCCAGATATGGTGGCACCTGCTCTCGGGAGGGGATGGTGGGTGGTGAGAGCACAGGGTGAGGGGTGGAACTGACTATAGGCCAGGTTGTCTATGCAGCCAGGATACCTGTGTAGCCTGTGGGCCCCTGATTAAGATGATTAAGGACTTCATGGGCAGTAGTGGAGCCTTAAGACAGGAGTTGGCCCTTCTGAGCCATACCTGCTGCTCCAAACCTCCCTGGAGCCTCCTACCTTGGGGTGCAGGAGCAAGGTAGGGGGAAGAGGAGGATCTCTTCAGGGGCCCTCACCAGCCTGTGCTCACACCACATCCTCATGTACATAGCAGTATACATGAGGATGTAGTATACATAGTTACACACAGAGGTGCTATAGTATGCACACACATATGCACACATGCCTGTACTCTCCTGCCTGTCTGCCTCACCCCACAGTGTAGGGCCACCAGCTCTCAAGGAGAAACCCTGGCTCCTGCATGAGGAAACAGAGGCCCTGAGAGCCACACAGGGGCATATGGAAGGTCACCCACGGGGCCACAAGGAGGGTCACTGGCAGGACCACATGGAGGGGCATGTGATGGCCCTGGGCTGCATGGGCATTCAAACCCAGCTGGCCTACTGGCCTGGCTGGAACTTTACCCCTCTAGGATCTCTCATTCCTTCCTGGGGTACCCAGACCCCAGCCATGGAGCCCACCCCTCCGGCCACTGGCTTAGGTACAGCCCAGCCTTCCTGTGACTGCTCCTGCCTGTGACTGCTGGTTAATGAGCAGCCGGTGGGGAGGGGCTGCTCATAAAGGCTCCTGAGCCACAGGCCCTGATCCCTTCCCGCAGTGTGCAGTGTGCCGAGAGGAGTGTCCGCAACAGGTGCTGCCATGTCCCAGCTGGTGGAGTGTGTCCCCAACTTCTCAGAGGGAAATAACCAGGAGGTGAGGCCCCTGCAGGGCTGCCCGAGGCCAAGAGAAGGGGGTGAAGGTGGTGTGGGTGTGGGTGTCTTCTCAGCCCAGAGGGTTGAGCTATTTCTGTTGGCCCGGGGACAGAGGGAACTCAGGAGTGCCTGACCAGGATGGGTGGGATGCAGCTGGTAAGGGCTGCAGGGCTAGTGGTCTTTTGGAGTCTTTTGGTTGCTTCTGGTAGGGATTTGGGCCAGAGTCTCTTGGCCTCAATGGGCCTTGGAGCTCCCATCTGAAAATGGGGCCATTGAGAACCAAGCCAAAGGACTGTTTGAGGGTCCCAAGAAGGCTGACACTGCCACATGGTCAGTGCACTGGGCCCTGGGCTGTTGGCTAGAGCAGGGGCTGTCACCACCCTGTACTGGAGGAAACTGATGCAAAAGTCTGGTGGGCCTCCAAGTCCCTAGGACACGATTTCTGATCTCCTGATCCCAAGCCTCCCACGCTGGTTGTCCTGCTGCCTAGAAGGTTCCAGGTCCTTTGGGCCCCACTCCCACTCTCGACATCTGCCCCTTCTGGTAGGGGCTGTGACCTGGCACTGTGGCTGTGGCTTGTGTCCCCTTCTTGGAGCCAGCCTCCTGGAGCAGTTCCTCCTCAGGGCTCTACCTGCTGCCCACCCCCTGCTGACCCCCCTTGTAAGCCTGAGTGACAGGCATTGGGAGAGGTGACCTGGGGATGGGGATTCCTTAGGCCCATGTGTGGGTGTGGGCTGACACATCTGTAAAGCTCCTCTCCCTCTTTCAGTGGGGAAACTGAGGTGTGGGGCCGGGCTTATTCACAGGTGATCAGTGCCATCTCCCAGGCCATCTCCCAGACCCCGGGCTGTGTGCTGCTGGATGTGGACGCTGGCCCCTCCACTAACCGCACCGTGTACACCTTTGTGGGACCGCCAGACTGTGTGGTGGAGGGGGCCCTCAGTGCTGCTCGGGTGGCCTCACGACTCATTGACATGAGCAGGCACCGAGGTGAGGGTGGCTGAGGCTGGGCCCTGACCTTTGCCCTGGGTGTCCTGGGAGAGGAGGGCCTAAATCAGGGCCTGGGGTGCGGTATGTGGCAGGGCTGGCTCGGCTTCTCCTCGGAGGGCTCCCAAAGGCATGAGGGTGCTGGAGCCTAGACATAGCTGCAGAGGCTGTGCTTTCTGTGGCCCCTCACAGTACCTCCACATGGGGCCAGCATCCAGCCAGCCTCTGGGCAGGCCTCTCCGGGGGCAAGGGTGCCAGGAGCCTGCCAGTCAATAGGCCACAGCCAAACACCAGTGGGAGGTGGGAGGGTCAAAGGTCAGTGGACACATACAGAGCCAGTCAAAGGGCCAGGGTCTGGGCCAGGTCCATGTGGAAGGGATTTGCATGAGACCCCAAGTAGTGAACAGACAGGGAACTTGACTGTGGGTTGTACGTAGGGGAGGGCTGGGCTGGGGGTCATCTTCTTGGGGCTCATCCCCAGTTGTGTCTGGCCATAGTGGAGAGACCTACTGGCCACAGAACGCTGTGAGAGCAGCCTAGGCACTTGCTGCTGGGAGGGGCTCAGGAACAACTGGAACTGGCCCAAACCAGGACTCCTGAGTGTGGAGTTTCAAACTCTGGTGCCCCAGAAAGTAATTTTTGTGACTTTTGGGAGAAGGGAAGGTTTATCCCAAAAGTGACAAGGTGCTCAGACCCACAGCTTCTCCTGGGGTTTTCAAGGCCCCCATGTTGGCCATGAGGACTGTCTACCAACGTGCCCTGGCAGGCCAGGAGGGGCTGGGGCTGCTGCTGGTGTGGGGCTGGATGGCCAGGGACAGCTGCTTCCCCATAGTCTTGTGAGAGCCAGGTGTGTGTAGCTTGGGGGCTGAAGGGGACAGAGGGTCAGAGTGAGTCAGGGAACTGCCACCCACTCTGCTTCCTGTCCTCCATCCCTCTGCAGGGGAGCACCCACGCATGGGGACCCTGGACGTCTGCCCCTTCATCCCAGTGCGGGGTGTCAGCATGGATGAATGTGTACTCTGTGCCCAGGCGTTTGGCCAGCGGCTGGCAGAGGAGCTGAATGTGCCAGGTACGTGCCCCAGGAGCGGCCCCCATCCTGGGGCTTTGGCAGCTAGCCGCATGGCCCCCTGACCCCCTGGCCCTCCACAGAGTCTGTGCCCAGCAGTGGCGGGTCACTGGCCCCTTGAGCACTTGCCCAGATCTGTCTTGGCTCCTCTTACAAGGGCAGGTCATCACAGAAAAGCCACCACAAGCAAACTGGCATGCAGGACACATCTCGCTCCCTCCATGATGAACAAGCAAGCAGAGGCCGGGCAGGGGCTGGTTAGCCAGATGATCATGAGCCTTCTAAAACAGAATAGCTTCACTTTGGGGAATTAACTAAATCAAGAAAATAATAGGAAATATATGGAGAAAAACTGGAGAAAGTTCACATCTATTTCTGGGGCAGGTATGGGTGAGAACCAGGGGCTACCACTCAGGCTGATGTGAGAGAGGGTGCGGCTGGCAACACGTTTGCAGTCCAGCAGGGGCTGGGGCTTTGTGGCAGGTTTTGTTTCTTCTCTATTCCTTCTCTTGTGGTTATGTTTATCACAAAATGAAAACACATTTTAAAAAGAGACCCAAATATCCTGCCATTAGTGCTTCCCCACGGTCCATCCTCACCTCCAGCTGTGGCTTTCTGAAAGGCATCTGAGTGAGGGTGGGGGTGCTGGCCTTTGCTGAATGTCCACCAGGGAGCTGGCACTGTGGGAGGTCTGTCCCCAGCATGCCTGACTCACAGGTCCCTTGCAGTGTACCTCTATGGAGAGGCGGCACGTACGGCTGGGCGCAGGACCCTGCCTGCCATCCGGGCAGGGGAGTACGAGGCCCTCCCTGAGAAGGTGCTGGTCCCATGGGGTGGGATGGGGGCTGGGGGAGATGGGTGGGCCCTGCTCCTTTTTCTGGCCAGGGTGGGTAGGCTCTCTGTCTTGAGACTCCAGCAGGCTGCCCCTCCTCACCCCCTGCAACATCCCCATAGCTCAAGCAGGCCGAGTGGGCACCTGACTTTGGTCCCAGCTCCTTTGTCCCCAGCTGGGGGGCCACCGTCACGGGGGCACGGAAGTTCCTCATTGCATTCAACATCAACCTGCTTAGCACCAAGGAGCAGGCCCACCGCATCGCCCTCAACCTGCGGGAGCAGGGGCGCGGGAAGGACCAGGTAGGCAGTGGGGCTGCTGCCTAGTCCCCATGAGCGCTCATCATCAACTCCCACAGAACCCCCCAGGTGCCCTTCTGGAGAGTCTGAGGCTGAGACCACAGGCAGGACAGTGGCACAAGGAGTGTCAGCTGGGAGCCTGTGGTGTGGTGTGGACAGGGCCCTGGCCCAATGGGGGTTGGCCTCTGACTTGCCCACCAGCCCAGCCCTGTGTCCACGTCAAGTCAGGGATTACAGTGTGTGAAATTGGGCAGCACTTGCTTTAAAGGGCATTTCCCACAGAGGGAGGCAGGGCTGTACTTGTTATATACCACAGCATTTCCACACTGGGACAGCTGCTTCCTGAGTCCCAGGTATCCTCAAGTGTCCCCAGGCACCCACAGGAACCCCCAGGTGCCCCAGGTGGCCCAACCTCCACATCTGCACAGCAGCTGCCACTGGTTTGAGTGCTGCTTCTACACAGATGATGGAGAGACAACTGGTGAAAGAAGAAGAGGACTAGACTGAGATTAAAAAAAAAAAAGAAGCAAACCCCCTGTCCCAAACTCTCAGGGTCCCTAGCTGCCTCTTCCCCACCCTGCTGACTCAGTTATCCATAACTAAAGCACAAAAGCAAGGTGACTTCTGAATCTTTTTTCATGCCTGGGCCAAAGTCAGTGGTCAGAGGTCCCCCTTCAGGTGGGCTCAGTTGCCCTGGTGTGAGGGACCAAGGGGTCTCTGCTGGGCAAGGAGGTGGGACTCTAGCTGGCCCTCTACCTCAGTGTCCCCATGGCCTCTAGGCAAAGTATGGCTGCGCCTAGTGAGTGGTGGGCATCCTGGAGAGGGTCTGGAGCTGAGACCCCCCCAGGCAGGATGGTGGCACCTGACCCTTGGGCATCAGTTTCCCTGTGGAGAACAGGGCCTCACCCTGCCCCTCCCCGGCCAGCTCAGGGTTGGGAGGGGAAGAGCCACAGGCTACCCTATTCACTCTGGCCTGTCATTGTCCAGTGAGGGATGCAAACACGAGAGGCAGGGCAGGGGTTGTCGGTGGCGAGCTTCTCAGACCAGGCTGGGACAAGCTTTTGCTCTGCAGCCAGGACGTCTGAAGAAGGTACAGGCCATTGGCTGGTACCTGGATGAGAAGAAGCTGGCACAGGTGTCCACAAATCTCTTGGACTTTGAGGTAACAGCGCTGCACACGGTCTATGAGGAGACCTGCCGAGAAGCGCAGGTGAGTATGGGCACCCCTGCTGTGGGGGTGCAGGGGCCCAGCTAGGTAATAGGGTATGTGCCCGCAGGGACGTGCTGGTGCCTAGTCCTCGACTTTGTAATGATGCACCTGTGCCCTGCAGGAGCTATGCCTTCCCGTCGTGGGCTCGCAGCTTGTGGGCCTAGTGCCTCTGAAGGCCTTGCTGGATGCAGCCACTTTCTACTGCAACAGAGAGGACCTCTTTGTCCTGGAGGAGGAGCATCGTCTCCGGCTGGTGGGCAGAGCTCCCAGGGAGGGGTAGGGGTGGGGGCTGACAGGGCACTGTGTTTCAGGAGCAGGTCTGGGGTATTGAAGGCATTTGCCCCAACTCCACACCTCACCTGTGCAGGCCTCCCCCTCCTTTGTCCTATTGTGTTTAGAAGATGAGATTTTCAATTTTTATTTTCTTTTAGGGACCTTATTGAGGTATTCTTTGTTACTCAGATGTTCACTTCTGGTAAATTCTCATGGAGAAAACAATGCACCTTCCTGTGGGGTCTTCCCCCTGGGCCCCAAGCCTTAGACGATAGTTATAGGTCTGAATGTGTCTGTCTAGGGAACATAGGCCTTTGTCCCTAGTCGGCTCTTGTAGAAAATGGTTCTATGTGTCTCGTCGCCTAAGCCTCAAATACCACCTGCCTGGGCTCCTGGAGGGCCAGGTCCCTGCCTGGGCAGGGCAGCGTCTGCAGAAGCATCCTCATCTTTGTCCTCTGTCCTTTCACTTGAGGTCTTTCTGAGTCACTTCTTTTTAGGTGTTGTTCTCACCATGAGCACATGATTGGATTTTCCAGAAAGTTCCTGTCTTCGATGGTTGAGTTCATTTTGTTTGTATTTACTGACATGGCAGAACCCTAACTTCTGTTATCCTGTTTGGGGACATGAGTGTGGTCTCCTCCCGCTTATGTGGAAGGATTAGAGTTGGCTTTGGGGGGTTCTGGTCATTTCCTTTACAACCTAACACACTTCTTCACTCCTATCTTTTCTTCCTTCTCTGTATCTTGATGTTTTTTAAGTTATAGTATTTCGATGGGGGAGGGGTTCTTTTGGTGGTTAAATTTTTAAATTGAAATAATATATTTAATCCTTTGGCTCTTGATTTATCAGCATTAGACAGGTGAAGACAGGCCAGGAACTAGTGCACTTTTGTTTGAGCAAGGTGTCTGCTCCAGACTTACATTGTTATTTTTATATCATTGATAGTATTTACTTCCTGTAACTACATCCACTCAGTATATTAAATGTCCGTGGATATTTAATCCTGGCTGTGTATATAGAGATCAATATGCATCTGCTGGTTCAGACCAACCGAGTCCCTGTCTGTCTGTGGGCTGGTTTCATAATTAAGCAGATTTTTTTTTTAAGGCCTATGGGCCTTTATTCTGAGGGTTCTGGTGTCTGGGAATGTTTTTCTATGACTTTATTCTCACAAAGACTGTTGGAGAACCAGAACTCCAAGTCACCAGCTTGTGTCTCTACAAACATGCATCCTCACCCTTTCCAGGGGGAGAGCGAGGCAGCCTCACCATCCCTGCCTCAGGCAACTTGTTCTTTCTTCTGATGTCTGAAGAATTCCTTCTTTATCCTTAAATTCAGCAACTCTGCCAGATACAGCTCAGTATTGATTACTATACTTGATGTTTTGCCTTGGAGTAGGGTCCCTTGTGATTTATAGATTCTGTTCTTGTGTAGTTTCAAGAATATTTTCTTCCATTTGTTTTTTTCTGAGACAGAGTCTCCAGCTGTCACTCTTTGTTGAGTGCTATGGCGTCACAGCTCACAGCAACCTCAAACTCTTCGGCGAAAGCAATTCTCTTGCCTCACCCTCCCAAGTATGGGACCACAGGCACCCACCACAATGCCTGGTCATCTTTTTTGTTGCAGTTGTCATTGTTATTTTAGTTGGCCCGGGCTAGACGTGTTGTGCAATTCTGGCAGGAATAGCACAATGACGCTATGACCCCCACAGGGCATCAGCCACAACGGTACCCACTTATCTCCCTTCCAAGTACTAACCAGGCCTGACCCTGCTTAGCTTCTGAGATCAGATGAGATTGGGCACATTCAGGTGGTATGGTTGTAGACAGTGCCCACTTATCTCAATGTGCCGACTCTGGTCACCTGGGCAAGGTGGTGTGCTTCATCTAGGATGGGGTACTGCAATGTTACTCTTTTTTCCTTTTGTAAACACTCTGTGGGAGATACTTTAGGGTATTTAATGTATTTAACAGATAAATATCTGTTTATCTACTGAAATTACAGCCATAAGTTTTAACAGTCAGTGATAGTTTTCTGACTTTATCCCTTCTCTGTCAGAAGCTTTTACTTCTCCCACATTGATTTATACCTTATTTATAGGTTTGTTACTCTTTTCTAATTTTCAGCACCTTATTTATATTCTTTATCTAAAGGCTGTTAATGTCTGCAGTCTCTGAAGGTCTGGTTTTGCAAATTGTTGTTTCTGCTAATTCTCCTCTGGCAACTGGCCTTTTCATGTGCTTTGTGTTTTTTGATTGTCAGTGCACGATCTTTGAACTTTTATTTATGGTAATTCTTGGGCACCTGGGTTTAAAAGTTTTCCCCTCCAAAGAGGGTTGGTGTTAGGTACTTGGGGACAATACCACATAGGACCACTTGAAACTAAGTTTTTTGCTTAGAGCTTTGGCACCACCAGTAAATCTATGCCCAGGATGATTCAAAGCCCCAACAAGGTGGCTTCTGTTTAGGAATTCCCAGGAAAGATTTTTTTTTTTTCCTGTTTCATTCAAAGGGAAGGGAAGTATCCCAACTTTTCCCTTTGGTGAGTGTTCTTTTCTAATCCATCTTTGGAGAGTCACCCTTCAGGACTCTTCTATCTGGGTCTGCTCTTTGAAGGCCTGAGACCTCCACTGAGGCCAGGGGGCTCAGTTGTCCCAGGGCACCCTAGCTCCAGGCTAGCAGGCCTTTCTGGACTCACCATTCTGGTCATTCCTGGCCTCAAATGATTTCTTTTGCTTTCTGCCAATTTAGCCATGAATCTAAATTAATTAAAAAATTTTATGTATCTTTCTGAGGTTTTCTGCACCAGCAGCTCTAAACTACTGCTGGCTAATTCTACTGCCTTATGTAGGAGTGTTCTTCACCTTCTGCTGTCCTGTCCCATAGTGGCACCATTTCCTGTCTTTACAGTGGGCGTGTGTGGTTTCCCCTGGGCAGGGAGGCATAGAGCAAAGGTGCTTGGAATGGCTTTTGGCAGAATGGATTCTAATAGTGAATGGGATTGTTGTGACTTTATTCTTTTTTTTTTTGAGACGGAGCCTCTAGCTATCCCCCTGGGTAGAGTGCCATGACATCCCGCTCACAACCTCCAACTCCTGGGCTCAAGCGAGTCTCCTGCCTCAGCCTCCCAAGTAGCTGAGACTACAGGCGCCCGCCACACGCCTGGCCATTTTTTGGTTGTAGCCATGATTGTTGTTTGGCGGGCTCGGGCTGGGGATACGAACCCGCCACCTTAGGTGTATGTGGCTGGCGCCTTAGCCGCTTGAGCCACAGGCGCCGAGCCGACTTTATTCTTGACTTTAGGTAAAATTCCCTTTTCCTCACATTCAAATTTTATGTTTAGATGAATTTGGGCTGTTCCTATAGTTTAAGACCTGGAGAGATGTTGACACCTGGATAATTAAAATCTAGAAGCTATAGCTTGAAGTCGGTGCTCAGTGGGTAGAGCACTGGCCACAGACACTAGAGCTGGCGAGTTCAAACTTGGCCCGGGCCAGCTAAACAACAATGACAAGGACAACAATAGCAACAACAAAAAATAGCTCGGGCATTGTGGCAGACACCTGTAGTCACAGATACACAGTTGGGAGGTTGAGACAAGAGTATCACTTAAGCCCAGGAGTTTGAAGTTGCTGTGAGCTGTGATGCCGCAGCACTCTACTGAGGCCTACATAGTGAGACTCTGTCTCAAAAAAAAAGAAAAGATCTAGTGGCTGTGTCTGTTGGCCCCATTCAAGGGTGAGTGCCGTGTCATCTGTGGGACAAGCATGAGGGACCACCAGTAGGCAATTCCTATCTCTGGGCCTCAGTTTCCCCACAGAATAGCAGGGGGGTGCACAAGAGTACACACAGGGGGCCTCTGCAGGTTCCAACTGTGCTAGCTGTGCCCTGGCCCCCTCCCCACCTAAAGGCCTAACCTACTGGAGCAGGAGAGCCCAGCTGGGACCTTCATCCTGTGAAAGATAACTGAGGCCAATGTGTCTACCTTGGGCCCCTTTCCAGGTAGTGAATCGTCTGGGCCTGGACTCCCTGTGCCCCTTCCACCCTGAGGAGCGTGTCATCGAGTGAGCAGCCTCCATCCTGTCCCCTGGGCCTCACCCCTCCTTGCCCTTCTGCCTCCCTCCTCCCAAGGCCTGGCTTTTCTCGGCTTTCCCCTCCATTCTCACTTAGCAGGTGCCAAGCAGGTGGGTCTGGGGTTGGGAGGGAGAGGCATGGCCGGGGTGGGGGGAACCTCAGTGAGACCCGGACAGGCCTCTGCCCCTCTCGCTGAGCTCCTGGGGGTCTCCACCTGCCTGCCGCCCACTGAGCCGCCCCCACCCCTACAGATACCTGGTGCCCACCCATGGGCCAGAGCGCAGCCTGGTGGACCAACCCCTGCGCACCTTCGTCCGAGAGGTGGGCGGGCGCTCGGCGGCCCCCGGGGGAGGCTCAGTGGCTGCTGCTGTAGCGGCGCTGGTAAGCCCCACTGGGAAAGGGGGCTCTGGGGAAGGAGGCAACGGGACCCCACTGCGCGGGGCCCCACTGCGGCAGGACCCCAGTGTGGCGGGACTCCAGTGTGGAGGGATCCCACTGCGGCGGGACCCCACGTCAGCGCAACCCCACAGCAGTAGCACACAGGTGGTCCCCCTCCGCTGTTATCCGGGGGTGCACCTGACCAGGCGAGGGCCTGGCCGCTGTCCGGGCAACCTCAGCACTCCCTGATGCAGGGTGCAGCGCTAGGCTCTATGGTCGGCCTGATGAGCTACGGGCGCCGCCAGTTCGAGCACCTGGACGCGGCCATGCGGCGACTGATCCCGCCCTTCCATAAGGCCGTGGCCGACCTGACTGCACTGGTGGACGCCGATGCTCAGGCCTTTGCTGCTTACCTGGTAAGTGCTGGAGCCTGTCCTGAGAACAGCAGACTCCCTTGGGGCCTGTGGACGTGGTGTGGCTGGAGACCCCTCTGAGGCAGTGGTTGTGCTGACCCACACTCCGGCCAGGCAGAGGCAGGGGCCCAGGGCCAGCCAGGAGGGCGCTTCCTGGCGTCCAACCCTAGAGGAGGGAGAGAGGACAGCACGTCTGAGGGAGAGTTCACAGAAATCTCCATGAAAGAAGCAGCAGGTGATAATGGTCTCAGAGAAGTCAGAAAAGATAGTTAAGCCATAAAACAGTCATTGAGAGAGCTGGGAAAAGGAAACCACATCCCAAGAGTCCCCCAGACCCCGGTAGCTCCAGGGAGCTGTGGTGGGACAGCTGTCTCAGGCCAGGATGGGCAGGTGGATCAGAGGCCAGGAAGGGTCAGAAAGCCCACCACTTCTGAGGGGGTTCCAGACTGGGGGGGAGGGGATGAGAGAGGGAGACAGAGAGGCAGAGAGAGGGGGAGAGACAGAGAGACATCCCTAGAGAGAGACAGAGACACTGAGAGAGACAGCTAGTGCCCTGGAGCCTGGGACCCAGGGGCAGGGGAGGAGGCTCCTCCTGTGTCTACATCTGCTGTGTATGAGGGAGCTCTGCAGAAACAAAGCCAGGAGGCTTCGGAGTCAGACAGTCTGTCCCCACATGGCCGTGTGGCACAGGATGGCGAGCTTTGCAAGAGGACAGAACCAGCTGGTAATGTTCAGGGCCTGGTTGGGATGACCGAGGACACCCAGAAGGGTGACCAGAAGTGCCGGTCTTGCTTCAAGGGGTTCTAGCTATTGATCACCTGTCTTCAGTCATGATTTGTGTCATCTGTTTGCTTTTTAAAACAGGTAAATCTTGCAGGAGGTTCAGAGTTCAGAAAGGCAGTCCATGCTGGCTCTGGCCCCGCCCTGGGCTGGCGCCCCGAGCTCAAGGTCTCCTGCTTCGAGGTGGTCAGGATGTTGGCTTTGTCTGTTTTCTCTCCTTTCTCACATAAATGGCGGCAACACATCCCCAGTTTTGCTTCATGCATTTTCTTATATTTAACAGTAGTTTTCATTTCCTTTTCAGTGATTGTTCTGATGAATATCTTTGCCCCCTTTTCTGTTAGGTTTCCCCAAGAGCTTTTTCTTACTGCTTCATTGGATGTTTTTTATACTATGGGGGGTCAGGTCTTGTTCTGGTTGTTCTGGGTTTGGTTTTCCTCCAGTTAGTTGTTTGTCTTTGTGGCAGCTTCTGGCAGTGACAACTTTTTACCTTTATTTCATCAAATGTATCAGTCTTCCATTTTATCTTTTCAGTTTTTATGTCATAGTTTAAATGGCTACCACAGATCAAGGTTGCATTTTCTAGATTTTTATGTTCTGATGAACTTCAGACATGGAGAGGCATTTAGAGTGAAGCATCAGTTTTTATACAAATATTAAAAATTTAGAGGCAACACTAAATTTAGAAATTTTATTATTTATTTATTTTAAATTTAGAACATTTAGAAGAAACAAGGTAAATAATTAGAAAACAGGTGGAGGGAAAGTACGTAAATGAACATTTCATTAAAAGGCAGGAAAGAAAAATGAAGATGAGCAGAAAAGATGTATGCTTTAGAGAAAATGAAAAATAAAATGATGAGACAAACACAAATGAGTAGGGAAATACTGAGTCAGCTTATGTTCCTGATGAGCAGCAAGAAGATGGACTTTAAAAAAAAATTTAATTTAATTTTTTTATTAAATCATAGCTGTGTACATTAAGGATGGACTTTTTAAAATAAAAATAAGAAGGCTGGGTGTGGTGGCTCATGCCTGTAATCTTAGCACTCTGGGAGGCTGAGGCAGGTAGATCACGCAAGCTTAGGAGTTTAGGACCAGCCTAAGCAAGAGCAGACTTGTCTCTACTAAAAATAGAATAACTATCTGGGTGTTACAGTGGGTGCCTATGGTCCTAGATACTCAGGAGACTGAGGCAGGACGATGACTCAAGCCTCGGAGTTTGAAGTTGCTGTGAGCTATGATGCCATGGCACTCTACCCAGGGCGACAGAGTGAGACTCTGTCTCAAAAAAATACATAAAAATAAAAATCAGGAAACATGTCTATCTTGCACCAAATCCATATGTAATTTCCAGATGGAAAAGAAAGCTGGCCATGGGGGTGGGGTGTGTGGCTCAGTGAGTGGGGTACTGGCCCCATGTGCTGAGGGTGGCGGGTTCGAGCTCAGCCCTGGCCAAACTGCAAAGGAAGAATGGCTGGGTGTTGTGGCGGGTGTCTGTGGTCCCGGCTGCTCAGAAGGCTGAGGCAGGAGAGTCGCCTAAGCCCAGGAGCTGGAGGTTGCTGTGAGCTATGATGCCATGGCACTCTGCTGAGGGCGACAGGGTGAGACTCTGTGTCTAAAAAATAAATAAAGAAAGAAAGAAAGAAAGAAAGAAAGCTGGCCATGTTCCTCTCACCAAAAAGCAGACCTCACAATATGCTACAGAGAGCAAGCCTGCTGCGGTGGGCAGCCTCAGTGTGGCCTTGTGAAAGATAGGCTGGGCTGAGGTCTGCAGAGTTTTGCCCAGTGAGGCCATGGATACTGTAGGGTCTGACCAGGAAGGTGCCCACAGTGCCCAAACTTCCTGCGATGCTGTTCTGCCTTCTCTTGGAACTGCTCCCATCCAGCAGAGAAACAGTCAGGAAGACCCGCTTGTGGTGGGGAGTGCAGAGTTATAATTGCAGTTATTAGAACAAGGATAGAGCCAGTTCTGGTCAGGCCCAGGAGTCAGCTCTGTCTTCTGAGATGGAAGCATGGGTCTGTTGATAATGACTTTTTGGTGCAGATTAGGCTGAATCTTCCAAAACAAGGATGAGCACCCCCCCAACCTGTCCATCCTCCAGGTGGTTGGAGCAGGGGCTAGCTGGCAGGTGTGACCAGGTGGCAAATTATACAGACCCAGCAGGGCTCACCACATGGGTGGGGTCTGCAGAGCTGAGCTGGGAAGCCACAACTTTTTGTGTGACCCCATGGGAGGAGGCCATGCCTATGGCTGGGGCAGGGACACAGAGGATGGCAAGGGCTTTCACAGTTTGCTGTTTGTCCTTCCAAACAGTCTGAGCTCTTATGCCCAGACCTGGGGGGATAAGGCTGCATGTGATACCTTCAAAGTGATGTTGGCACAGGAGACAACTGCCACAGTGGGGGGACCACCTCAGTTCTCCTGTCCTGCAGGCTGTGAGGATTCAGAGGACCTCTTGGACCCTCTGTCCCCTTATCTGGAAAAAAATGGTCTGCCTACCTTCTCTCCACAACACCATCTGGTCTCTGACCACCTGCTGTGGCCCCATGCCTCCTTCCCTAGCCCTGCTTATGTGAGGGCTATAGACCCTGATTCTAGAAGTAGCCTAATCCCCTTCCCAAGGCACCTCCAGCTGGCCTGTGGCCCTCTTGACCAAGCAGCCCTAAGTGGGCAACACCTACACTAGAGGCAGTGAATGGGCCCTGCTGCCAGCTTCCCTATACTCACCGAGGCTGTCCTGTGGGGCCTGGGACACCGCCCTTGCTGTCACTGGGACACCACCACTGTCACTAGCCTGGTGGCTTTTGTGTTCTTTTCTGATAGGAGGCCATGAAGCTGCCCAAGAACACACCTGAGGAAAGGGACAGGTAAGCCCCTAGACAGGGCCATGGGGCCTCTGCATCTGGGGAGCTGGAGGCCAGGCTCTTGGACATCCAGGTGCCTTGGTGGGAGCTCCCATCACCCCTGGGCGTATTCTGTGGTTGCTGGATGACTTTCCTGTTGTCCCTACCCTGATCCTGCCTGCTCAGCCCATGGTAGAGTGGGCCTGAAGAGGGCTGGGCCCTAACCCTTGCTGCCCCTTTCAGGCGTGCGACTGCCCTGCAGGAGGGACTGCGGCGGGCAGTCTCTGTGCCCCTGGCTCTCGCAGAGACAGTGGCCTCACTGTGGCCGGCACTGCAGGAACTGGCTCTGTGTGGGAACCTGGCCTGCCGGTCGGACCTACAGGTATGGTCCAGGGCCCCAGGCCTCTTGCTGCTGGGCAGGAGCAGCAGGAGAGAGACCACTGTGGTTTTTCTGGCTGAGCTGGGTCTGGGACCTCGATTCACAGGTGCCTGGGCCTCCTCCTGAGGGGCCACTTGTCTGAACACCTTGTTTGATTTGTAGTGTAGGCAGCCAGCGGCTCACGCATGTCTGCAGAGCCCTCTTGATACTGTACACACAGCCCCAGCCCAGGGCCCCTCACAGCACTCCTTGCTCTGGAAAGCACTGGGGCAGCTCATGGACATAGATGGCCCATCACACTGAGAGTCTCCTCAGGGTCTGGTCCTGAGGCTCCAGAGAAGTGTCCCCTCTGTCCCTGGGAGGTGGGAGAGCTACAGGGGTGGGCTTGGAAAGGATGACTGTCTGGTGATGGTGCCGGCTCCTAATGCCCCAGAGAATGGCAGTGCAGCATCTCCCAGGCTCTAAGAAGCCAAGCCTCTCTGATGTGAGGGTTTGTTTCTAAGCTCAGGGGTGGAAGAAATCAGAAGTTGTGCTGAGGATTTGTCTGTGGGGCATAAGTGGGGGCCATGTTGGGATCCCTGCCTCCCTGCGTTGCACTGAGCTGGCCCCACATGAAACCCCTCCATTTGCTGAGCCCGGGCTGATGGCACCAATGCTCTGAAAGGGGCGGCCAGTGTCTGGCCCAGGGCCTTGCAGTAGGGAGTTTCCTCCCTGGCCTTTGCAGGTGGCAGCCAAAGCTTTGGAGATGGGTGTGTTTGGTGCATATTTCAACGTGCTCATTAACCTGAGGGATATCACCGATGATGCCTTTAAGGACCAGGTGAGTGGGAGGTAGGCACAGTGCCAGGGGCTGTGGTTCACAGCTGTGGGGTGACTGAGTGGCCGTGGGTGGGCAGTATGAGCCCACCTTGGGTGGGCTGGTAGACATAGGGTGGTGGACATAGGGTGATGACCATCTCCCCCCGCCCCCATGTCTGTCAGACCCTCCAGCGCATTTCCAGTCTTCTTCAGGAGGCCCAGACCCAGGCCACGCTGGCACTGGACCACCTAGAGGCTCGGCGGCAGTGACAGCCCGGGGAAGCCTCGCCAGGCTCTGCAGTTCCACATGCCAATGGATGGGGTACAGCGGGGGCTCAGAGGATAGATGAGGTGGCCAAAGGGTAGGGGTGGGCAGTGGGGCCTGTCCTGGGCCTGGTGGTGCTGTAGGGCTGGCATCCCCTCGATATCACCTGCAGCCCGCAGTAAAGTCTCCACACAAACCTGCACAGTGTGTTTGGGGTTTGTGGGTCAGAAGGAGGGAGCCTGTGGTCAATGGGATCTGGGATTGGAGGGAAAGGGGCCACAGCTCAGGGCCCCACAGATGCCAGGTGCACCTCAGCGGTGGAAGGGCTTGATCCTGGTCACAGGTGCAGGGAGCATCCTGGGACCAGTGCAGGTTCCTGGGAGAAGTGGCCCTTGGTGGGAGTAGGGGGGCTCCGGGCTGTTCCTAGACAGAACCCCACGGAGATAACAGGACAATTGGTGCCAGGTGGCACCCAGTGCAGGGAAAGTTCTAGTGGATCCTGGGCATACTCGGCCTCATTCCTGGTTGGCTTCTGGCTCTTCCATGGGGCTGTCTCTGCTCAGGCCCATGTGGCAACCTCCTGCCTTCAGGGAGGCTCTGCTGTACCCGAGTCGCTACACGCAGGGCCCCCCAGTGTGCGCGTCCTTACTCGACAAACACGGGATAGGAAAAGAAGATAACTTGGGGAGCATGTCCTTCTTAAGCAAGGCAGAATCCCAAAGACCTTATAGGAAAGATTTTACTATCTGAAAATTTAAAACATTTGTTTTTGGAAAAAGACATCATCACCCAAGGTAAGTGACAAGAATCCCACTGGAAGAAAAAAATATCCAACATACAGAGCAGGCAAAGGGTCACCAACAATCAATTTCAAAAACTCCAGCAAGTCACACTGAAAGGGCAAAGTGCACAGAGGAGAGCTGGTGGAGTGTGACACTGTCCAGCACCTGGACCCAGGAGGGCAACGGCACATGGCCACACTCAGGGAGGGGGCTGGGCTCAGGGCATTTACACCCCACGGGGGAGGCACAGAGCTGCATGGGACTTCTTCAAAGGGCAGCAAAAAAAATCCAGTGGTGGATCCACGTGTGGATGACGTGTGCACGAATGGTGCCTGTGGGAACTGTGTCATCTGTGCGTGTGTGTGTGTTCCTCCCCCATCCCTGGTCCTGTTCCTTTCCTGTCACTCCTTCATCTCTCCTCCACCCTTACCTTCTGCCCCCTGCTCCTGGCCTTTACCAGGCTGTGCCCTTGGTCAGCTGGGGGCTGAGAGCACTGTCCATCCAGATCTGTCTACTGTGGTCTGGGCCGGGGGGCCTAGGCTGTGGGGCTGTTGCAAAGTGTAGGCCCCCAGGTCAGGGACACTGGACATGGTGGGCCACTCAGACCCACCTGAACAGGGCAGCCTTGGAAGTTGGGGCCTGGCTGTGTCCCCCTTCCATTGGGTGGGTCAGGAAGGGCTGTGGCTGTGCCCAGGGCGACACAGGAACCTTGATCTGGCAGACCCAGTTTGGTCTTCTCAGACCCCACCAGATGCCACCTGGTTTTGACTGGGAACTTTTCCAGTGTCCCTCAGCTTGAACCGCATGGTACTGGGTGGATGTGGGTTGTCTGTGTGGACAGGGTCTGCAGGGTCTGCTCTGAACATCCTTGGCCACAGGCTGCAGGGCTGAGGCTTCACATAGGCAGGAGGGAAGCAGTTCAGGGGGGTGGTCAGGCCCGATGTCAGCAGGGCACACTGACAAGGATACTGAGGAGGAAAGTGTTAGTTCAGGGGGCTGGAGGCCCAGTTTTCAGGAAAGGCCAGTGTGGCTCCTGCCACAGGGGTTGGCTGCAGCTCCATGTGGGGGCTCAGAGCTTTGGGAAGCTTCTCCTGTAGGCTATACCATGGAGCTGTGTTTGCCGGGAGCATGGAGTGCAGAGAAGCCCTGGTTGGGGCTCAGGGGTCATTCATCATGGCCACGTTTTGGGCTGTATGTCCCAGATGCAGTGGTCAGACCTACTGCCCAGTGGGGCTCCATTTCAAGGAACCTGGAGAGGCCCAGGGCAGGTAGAGGCTGCATGGTGAAGAGCCACTGAGCTGAGGCACAGTTCCCTCCCTGAGCCCTGTCTTGTCCCTTTTTCCCATCCTGGCTCCTAACCCAGCTCCCCCAGGCATGTCTCCAACCTTCTCACCAAACAAAGGAGAAGCCTCTGGGACATTGCAGGGAAGGCTGATGAAGGTTCAGATGGAAAGAGAGAGCATGAAATGAGGTGGTTGGAAGGGGTCATTTTTTGCAAAGAGATAATAGACTTAAGTAGTCCCCAAAAGGGGTGTGCCCACCTTTATAAAAAGAAGCCAACAGCAGAGATGTGAACAAGTGTGAGCCTGAATATGTTCCGCAAGACCCTTTTCCTCGATGATGCTGGGCTTCCTCCTTCCAGCACTGTGCAGGCAAGAGGCACCCTGTCCACAGCCACCCCTGCATGGCCTGAGAGCACATGGCAAGGATATATATCAGAGGAAATGTTAAAGAAGCCTGGATATGGGACATCAATGTGGAGACTTTGGTTTAAGGACATTGGACATGGAGATATTGCTATAGGGTTGCTAATGAGAACATGTTGGTGAGGGGATATTGGTGAGAGGAATATTAATGTGGGGGTGTTGGGATGGGGATGATGGTATGAGGAATGTTGCGGAGACATTGGTGAGGGAACATTGCTGAGAGGATGCTGTGAGGGGACATTGATGAGGAGACAACAGCTTGGAAAATGTTGATGAGGAGACATTGGTGTGGGAATATTGGTGAGAAGATAATTGGTGTGGAGACATGGATGTGGGAATGTTGCTTTGGGGACTTTGGCTTGGGGATGTTGGCATTAGGATGTTGGTGAAGGAACATAGGTGTGAGGACATAGGTGAGGGGAATGTAGGGTTGGGAATGTTGGTGTGGGGACATTGATGTGAAAATTTTGATGTGGAAACATTGGTGACGGGATATTTGTGTGACGGGAAACCTTGGTATGGGGGATGTTGGTGAGGGGACATTGTTATGGGTATGCTGATGAGGGGCAGCTGGTTGGGGATGTTTGTGAAAAGACATTTGTGAGGGACATTTATGTGGGGATGTTTATGAGGGAACATTGCTGTGGTGTTATTGGTGAAAAGATGTTGGTGAGGGTATGTTGGTGTTGAGATGTTGTTGAAGGCATGTTGGTGAGGGGAATGTTGGTATAGGGGTGTGTATGAGAGAACTTCAGGGTGGAGGCATTCATGAAGGGACCTTGGTGAAAAATTGCTGTTGAAGGGACATTGCTCAGATGATTGTTTGTAGACATTTGTGTGGGAACATTGGTTTGGGGACTTTGATGTGAGGACATTTAGTCAGGGAACATTGGTGTAGGGTCATGGTGAAGAACATTGGTGAGGGTAAACATTGGAGTGGGGAAAGTTGAGGGGGCATTTTTGAAGGGACATGGGTGTAAAGATGTTCACGAGGAAACTGGTGGGGGGGGTTGTTTGTGGGGAATGAAAATGAGGGACCTTTGTTGTAGGTATGTTGGCTTGGGGATGTTGGTATGGGAACATTGGTGAGGGAGGAGTTGGTTTGGGAATATTGGTGACACTGGTGAGAAGACAGTGAGAAAATGCTGGTGTGGAGACACTAGTGTAAGGCCACTGGTGAGGGGACAATTGGTGTGAGTTTGTTGGTGAGAGGATGTTGATGAGGGGATATTGTGGGGATGTTGGTGGGGATGGTTGGTTTTGGGACATTGGTGGGGGGAATGTCAAGTTTGAGAACATTTGTGTGGGGACATTGGTTAGATTGAGGATGTTGGTTGGGAAAATGTTATTGTGAGCACATTGGTCAGGGCCATTGGTTTGGGGATGTTGTTTTGAGCATGTTGGAACATAGATGAGGGGATATTGGTAAGGGTTATTGATTTTGGAAATATTGGTTAGGGGACATTTAATGTGAGATATTGGTGAGGGAAAGTTAATATGAGAACTTTGATGTGGGGACTTAGGTGTAAGTGATACTGGAATTTCACTCTTCAGTAGGTTTTTGGTCTCGGTGATTCAAAGAATGAATCCGTGGACCACAGATCGGTGGTAAGACAGGATTTATTTACCGAAAAGAATACAGAAGTGCCCGAGCTCCTGGCAGAGAGAGAAAACTTGAGTCAGGAGAGAAAAGTGCTCTCTCCCTCTTTCTGTCTGTGTGTCTGTAGGCTCTTTGTCTAGGGGTCTATGTAGCCACATGGGGCCCTCTACTGTTTAGCGGGGCTTGGTAGTTACATTTAGTGTGTCTAGGACATTGTGACTGGGACATGTCTGGGTCATGTCTGGAACAACATGTCCAGGACATGTCTGGCCCTTGGTAGTTACATTTAGCGAGGCTTGGTAGTTACATTTAGAGTGTCTGGGACATGTCTGGAACAACATGTCTGGGTCGCAAATGAATGGCTATACTCCCTTTCATTCCCAGGCCTAGGAAACGGGGACCCCTCTGCCCACCCCCCAGCCTGTTGGTTCCTCTGCTCCCTGCCACTGCACCAACATCACCAAAGCGGAGGCAGCAGGTCCGTGCCCCTAGCTCCATGAGCTGACTGGGATGCCACTTGTCCTGTATCATAAGGACATTGGTGTGGGACCATTATGTGAAGATATCTGTGAGAGGTGTTGGTAAGGGCATACTGATGAGAGGGTATTTATTGAGGGACATTAGAAGACATTGGTGAGGTTACATTGCTTGGGGATGTAGTTGTGGGGAATGTTGTTGAAGGCACTTTCTTGTGGCTATTTTGATGAGGGGACATTGGTATGGTGATATTGTCTTGAGGAAGTTGGTGCTGTGGTGTTGAGCCATTGGTGAGGGGAGAGGTTGGTGTGGGGAAATTTGTGAGGGGAATGTTGGTTTGGAGAAATTGTATGAGGACATTGGTCAGGAATTTTTGTTTGGGGGCATTGGTGTGAAGATGTTGGCGAGGGAGCATAGGTGTGGGGATATTTGTGAAAGGATATTGTTGAGGGGTCTTGGTTTGGGGATGTTTTTGAGGGATGTTGGTGTGAGGAAGTTGGTGAGGGCATGTTTTTGTGGGGATGTTGGTGGAGAACATTGGTGTGGAGACATTGATGAGGGGATGTTGTTGAAGAGATGTTGGTATAGCAACATTCATGTTGGGATTTGGTGAGGGGATGTGTTTTGGAGATGTTCATGTGAAGATGTTGGTGAGAGAACAATATTAGAAAGTTGTTGAGGAGATAACGGTTTTTTGATTTGGTGAGGCGACAAGGTAAAGGGACATTTGTGAAGATTAGTTTGGTATAGAGATATTGTTTTAGGACATTCATGAGTTGAGGTTGGTGAAAGGATGTTATTGATGGAGTTTGTTGGGGGATGTTGGTGTATGACATTGGTGTGGGCATGTTGATGGGAAGTTGTAAAGGGTATGTTATTGTGGAGACTTTGGTGTGGGGACAATAGTGAGGGGACCATAGTATGTGGGTATTGTTGAGGGGACATTGTTTAGGGGATATCATGTGAGGATGATGGTGAGGAGATGTTGGTGAGGGGATGCTGATCTTGGTGTGATGCTGGATCATTGTTGAAGGCACATTGGTGAGAGGATGCTGGCAGAGAACATTGTCCAGTAGATCCTACGGGTGACAACCCCCCTCCGATGGCCCTGCTGTTTCTGCCAGGGTAAAGTTTGCACTTGCAGGAGCTGGGATCACAGGACAGGACATCCTTTCCTTTGGAGGGACTTGAGACATGATCCTGTGGGCCATGTTCTGATGGGAAGGTCCTATCTCACAAGCACTGTGGTACAGGCCTGAGGTTGTAGGGGCTCAGATTAACAGGTGGGCTTTACTTTGTTTTTATGCTGGTGTTTTGTGTGGTTCTTTGCGGGGAGGGAAAAAGAGGCAAAGGAAGAGATGACTGAAGCCCAGCCCTCTGGCTGCAGGCTGTGTGGTCAGGGGTCTGAGAGGTGAAGTATGCATAATACCTTAGTTATCCCCAGAAGAGACATAAGGTGTTGGAGTAATGGATGAACAGTGTCCCCCAATGCACATGTGGCCACCTAACTTCCAATTCCTCAGAATGTGCCTTTACTTGGAAATGAAATCTTTGCAGATGTACTTAGTCAAGATGAGTTCATGCTGGGCCCTAATCCAGCTTGACTAGTGTCCTTATTAAAAAGGGAATTTGGGCTCGGCGCCTATAGCTCAACCGGCTAAGGCGCCAGCCATGTACACCTAAGGTGGCG